AGACCATAATTAACTACCTGGTAGATATATAACGACTACAGACCATGATTAACAACTGCTAGATATATAACTACAGACCATGATTAACAACCTGGTAGATATTTAACAGCTACAGACCATAATTAAGTACCCGGTAGATATATAACAGCTACAGACCATAATTAAGTACCTGGTACATATATAACAGCTACAGACCATAATTAACTACCTGGTACATATATAACAGCTGCATACCATAATTAACTACCTGGTAGATATATAACAGCTACGGACCATAATTAAGTACCTGGTACATATATAACAGCTACAGACCATAATTAAGTACCTGGTACATATATAACAGCTGCATACCATAATTAACTACCTGGTAGATATATAACAGCTACGGACCATAATTAAGTACCTGGTACATATATAACAGCTACAGACCATAATTAAGTACCTGGTACATATATAACAGCTGCATACCATAATTAACTACCCGGTAGATATATAACAGCTACAGACCATAATTAAGTACCTGGTACATATATAACAGCTGCATACCATAATTAACTACCTGGTAGATATATAACAACTACAGACCATAATTAAGTACCTGGTAGATATATAACAGCTACATACCATAATTAACTACCTGGTAGATATATAACAGCTGCATACCATAATTAACTACCTGGTAGATATATAACAGCTAGAGACCATAATTAACTACCTGGTAGATATATAACAGCTACAGACCATAATTAACTACCTGGTAGATATATAACAGCTACAGACCATAATTAAGTACCTGGTAGATATATAACAGCTGCATACCATAATTAACTACCTGGTAGATGTATAACAGCTACAGACCATAATTAAGTACCTGGTACATATATAACAGCTGCATACCATAATTAACTACCTGGTAGATACATAACTGCTACAGATAATATTAACTACCCAGTAGACAATTTAAGGGCAAAGGCTAAATTTCATGTGACTCCATAGCCTACATCTTTTTCTATTACAATAGCGTTTTGTGATCCCTTGAAAATATTTGACCTTTATCCACTAAACCATATCTTGCGATCTAAACTTTGTATCTTTCAGGCCAGACATGCTGCAACCATAGGAGCCACAGCAATTGCTGCCATGCCAACCACTTTTTTCAAACCATCAACAGAAGGTACATTACACAGTTGTTAATTTTTTCAAGTCACCTTATGTCCACTTTTACATGACAAACCAGTATTTTCATTTTCCATATTTTTAATTTCTGTCAGATTTTTTGTTTTGTTTATTGACGTTTGACTGACTGGTAGCCAAACTTGGGCTGGGATAATGATGTACTTTCATTATTTGAAATAACAACATTTGTAGATAAAATGTTGAATAATTTAAATTTATTACTGAAAAAGACCTGTAGGCAAAGCGAAATTATGGCCATTTTGTTTAAAATTACCAAAGAAGTTATAGAAAAATACATAATATACATAATAGCACTCATGTATATTATTATAACATAATAAAGTTTTAATTTCCGTTACTGAATTCCTGTTAAGCTGTGATGTCATTGTTGTATGCATAGTTGAATAACTAGATTACTGTGAAATACTTTATTGTAGATGGAATTAATTTTCGCTGAAAAAGCTTTTTGGGTGTTTTGTATGTAATTTATTTTCACTGATTTTTGATGAGTTGAATGTGAAAATATAGTAAAAAAAGTACATTTGCTGGATTTTATTTTCACTGAATTATCCCCTCAATGCAAATAAATTCCAAGTGGGAATAAAGTAGTTTACAGTATATACATTGCATGTACATCTCATCACATTTAGGTATCATCTAAAAAGTAGTTAATTGTCCATGGTTACATACAACAAGGGCATAGCTAAGGTGATTTAATTTTGTTTAAAGTTGTGATGCAAGCATTAATTATGCATGGTTATGCAAATTAATTAATAATGCACAGATAATCATGCCTATTTGTATTAATTTTTCAGTACGGGTTGCTTCATATCTGGCAGAGATTGCATCATCGGCACCAACGTTACCTCTCTATTATTATCACATTAATGCCCTTACAGGTGTAAATAGTAAGTATGTCAAAATGTCCATACTCTCTCTGTCATTAGTAATAAATTGAAATTTTGTTTTCAAAATTTCCTAATATCTAAAATTAGTAAATTAGTAAAATTTACACTAATTAAGTTTAACAATTCAGTGAAAGTCCAGCGTGTTTCATGTTCATGTTTTCTTTGTAGTATCTGTTGAGAGACTATTTGAAGTGATTGATAATGAAGTTAATGTACCAACATTTCGGGGTGTCAAATTTACATCACCTGACTTGTTGGATTACGGCCGTTGCATTGCGTACGGGAAGTATGATGTCATGTATGGCTTAGATGAGGTGAGGATCATTTATATTCACATCAGTTCACTTCATACCTTCTCAAACACCTATATGTACTGTATGATTGCAAACACACAGGTTAATATTAAGGTAAATTATGAGGCATGCAGTATACTTTTGTTGTTATCTAGTTGTCCTGAGCAATAACTACAATAACCTTGCCATTATTGATGATGATCAAAACATTATGGAATATATCAGATAATTTTTTTTTTTTTTAGCAACTACTACCTGCCTTGTCTTTAGGAGCGGAAACATTTGTCGGGAGGTGAGTTATATAATCTCAACTTTATTGAATCCAGTGTTTTTTAAATTTTTTTTTTTAAAACTCTCTTCTAGATAGGGAATGAATGTAAAGACTCAAATGCACATTAACCTAAAACATCCATCATACAAAGTCAATCAGATGTTTGATAGCTTAGTAACAACAGAAACCACAAACTAGTTCATTATGAAATACTAACTAACATATTGAATTGTATTCAAAAATAAAAATATAAAAAATAAATGTTTAGATTTATAAAACTATTCAGTTTTGTTTCCTTACACCAAATAGACTTGCATAATAATTTCCATATTAAAAATATTCACCAATGGGAAATTGTGTATTAGGAAAAAAACCCATCAAAGTGTGCAACATGTTGCTCAAAAAAATGGTGTTCAAAGGTTTTTACTTTCATGTGACTCTTTTGTATGATTACAGTACATATAATTATGCAGGAAAACTGTATAATGGTATCATTGAAGACTACAACAATGGAGACATGGTGGCAGCCAGACAGGGACAGGTAAATCCTACTCCCCCTCAATAAAAATTTTGTATATACTGTCAACAATGGTTATTTTAACTATTGGCCAATGTAAAGATAGAAATATAAAATAAACTTAATTGTGTGTGTGTGTGTGTGTGTGTGTGGTGGTGGTGGTGGTGTTGGTGGTGGTGTTGGTGTTGGTGTTGGTGTTGGTGGTGGTGGTGGTGGTGGTGGTGGTGGTGGTGGTGGTGGTGGGGGGTGGGGTGGTGGTGGGGGGGGGTGCGTGTGTGTTGGGGTGGGGGTGATAAGGATAAACATAATAAATTGTGATTTTTTTTCTCATCATACATTGCTACAAACAAAGCTAAAATGAACCTCTATCAGATTTGTTAATTTTGTGAGAATAATTTCAGTACTCAGGTTTTAGTAAAAAAATGCTATTATTTACTATTTGGAAATTTATTACTCAGTGATAACAATTGCAATCACCATGTCAACAACGAAATAACAGTTTGTTCTTTGGCAAAAACATTGTGATAACAATGACCATAAGAAAATAACTTGAGCTTTAATTTATCATTGTACACAACATGATTAACTTTGTTGACAGAAACACAGCTACCTTGTACCTGAACTTGCATCTCGTGTATGTAGACAAACAGACCCTGGAATGAAGTGTGTACATCCCTATCAATTATTAATCAAATTTTCATGGCCAGTCTTTTGTCTTTTTTTCCTGAGACATTATAATTTGGGTTCACCTAATGAGTGGTAATGTTAATTATTCTCAGAGTTATCGAAAATATTTTCGATACATATTTTTGAGGTCCTTGAAATTGCCCATCCCGAAAACAACCAATAATTTCATCAGGGTTTTTGAACTCACCCTTCCTCAAACCAACCAACGTTTTCACTGGGATCCTTGAAATTGTCCCAAACCAACCAAACAATGTTCCTTGAAATCGCCTCTCCCTGAAGCAACCAAACATTTCACTGGCCTGGGGTATTCAAACCAACCAAACATTCTTGATTTATGTTGAATATTAATCAATGTTTTTGTCATTTTCAGTTTAAAAGTCATGCATTCATTAAAGTTCTTTTAAAACATACAAGGACTGGTAAGTATATACACTAGTAGATGCTGTGCTTCTTTTAAAATAACAATATTACACAATTTGTTTATTAATATTGTATTGTCAGTCAAGGATAGAGTTTTGGACAGTTAGTACTGTCTTGGAAGAATAGGGATAATCTACATGTACTTGAATGTCTACCTCTTTTCAGACATGAATACCCCTTTTATAATAAAATTTCTGAAAAATATCTGACTAGGGTTCTTTTAGTCCCCATTAAATGATGTTTAAAACAGTGACTTATATCATCCATCTGTGCATGTCTTGACCTATGAGGTTCAAACTTGTCATAATGATATACATATCTACATCCATTAGTGTTTTTGTTTATTCCATGTATTCCACTCGGTTCTTTGAAGACATAACGAGTTGCATGTTTTTAGCTCCGCTGTCGACTTTGTCGAGCGGAGCTTATCATATGAGTGATTGTCCATTGTCGTCCGGCGTCCGTGTCAATGTTTTAATTTTTCGACTTCTTCTTGAAAACTACAAGCCTGAATGTTTTGATACTTGGTGTATATGTACCTTGGGTAGACCTCTCTCAGATTTGTTCATATCATGATTATATCTTCAATTCTCTAATTTTGGTGAATATTTTTGTCATTTTTGGTAAAAAGTGATATTTTCGACTTCTTGTTAAAAACTGCAAGTCCAATTGCTTTGATATTACATATATAGGTACTACATGTGTATCTCTCTCAGATTTGTTCATTTTGTAATGATATCTTTAATTCTCTAATTTTGGTGAATATTTTTGTCATTTTTGGTAAAAAGTGATATTTTCAACTTCTTGTTAAAAACCACAAGTCCAATTGCTTTGATATTACATATATAGGTACTACATGTGGACCTCTCTCAGATTTGTTCATTTCATGATGATATCTTCAATTCTCTAATTTTGGTGAACATTTTTGTCATTTTTGGTAAAAAATGATATTTTTGACTTCATGTTAAAAACCGCAAGTCAAATTGCTTTGATATTACATATATAGGCACTACATGTGGATCTCTCTCAGATTTGTACATTTTGTAATGATATCTTCAATTCTCTAATTTTGGTGAATATTTTTATCATTTTTGGTAAAAAGTGATATTTTCAACTTCTTGTTAAAAACCGCAAGTCCAATTGCTTTGATATTACATATATAGGTACTACATGTGGACCACTCTCAAATTCGTTTATTTCATGATATTTTAAATTCTCTAATTTTGATGAATATTTTTATCATTTTTGGTAAAAAGTGATATTTTCTTCTTGTTAAAAACCACAATCATTTATGGTGAAAAATGTTATTTTTGAATTCTTGTTGAAAACAGCAAGTCCCATTGCTTTGATACTATACATATTGTTCATTTTCTAATGATATCTTCTGTTCTTTAATTGAAATGTGCATTGCTAACAGCAGAGCTATCTCAGCCGAAAGGCTGCTTGTTTTTAATTTCTATGATATTTATCTGACTGGCCAACATTTACATTTTTGTAAAAAAAATGCCATCAATCATTTCTCAGGTAAACTTGGTATAAATG